CGCGAAAAGCGCTGAGCTGATGCTTCAGTAGATGAAACGGGCACTATGATCCCCAACAGTCACTGAAGGAATGACTGAGCAAAAGAAAGAAATGTTAGCTGCACAGCTGAAGTTCGAAACTGCTGAATTTGATTCACATGGTTATAGATAACTATTAAAGCATGCCAAGTTAAAGTAAAAAAATAAATCGCTATATTTCAAGTGAAAATGACAATAAACACTGGCTTCTACGAATGATTGTGGAAATGCTTCAGAACATCATCGCTGCTATCTTTCAGATAACGCTAATGGTGGCAAATCACTTCTACTCAGACCACGTTTATTAATTAAGACAATTAAATTTACATTTTTTCGTACTTTCTGCTGCTCGTTCTTCCTTCGCACAAACCGATTAGAAGTAAATGGCTTTGCACACGCGTGTCACTACTTCGCTGATTTAGGTGCTGCAGGGTGCTTGAATTTAATGCAACTAAAATCCTGAAGAATTCCGAGAATGATGGCTTTCGAGCTACAGCAAATTCCTCAGGCCGGTTTCAGCTTCTTCACCTTTCACAGCACAAGCAAAAAAGCCTTCTAATATTTCAGCTCCGATGCTTGTCCCATGCTGAAGCTATAAAACCAGTGGAATTTGAGCTGAAGTTCAAAGCCAAAACAAAATGTTTTTTGATGCTAATTTCAAGTGAAATCCCTTATTATTATCATGAGACTGAGACCTGAAAGGTTGAGCTTGTAGTTTCGTTCTTTTCCGCTTTACGGCTTTAATGCAATGCTCTGTCTGAAGCTGGAAGCTGGTGCAGAAGAAAGTTTACAGGTTGGCTCCAGTTTTTTGATCATATAATCATGATTCCAGAAGTTGAATATTCTGGTCCTTCTAGTTTAGAGACTGAACCCCAGTTGGCTGATCATAGGTACAGTGAGGTGAACCTTCATCTTAAACGGGGCAAAAACGCACAAAAATTACGACGAACAGGACAAGTTAAAAATCATCTCTCAAACTGTTGCAGAAAAAAATTATTGCTTTTAAGTTGAGGGAGCCGTCGACAGCTTTCCAGCCCGTGATTGCTGTTGGCACTTGCCACTACTCGGGCTACTTTCCGAGTGCCTCCGCCTTTCAATGAGAGCGCAATACAGATGGGGTTTTGATTTTTGACTTTGCTTGTTAAAACCTGTAAGAAAGAATAGATCATCGGCCAGTTGGCCACCGATAATATCTGAGTAGTGAAACAGAAGCAAACAGTAAGTTACAGTTCCCAGCAATGATTGTTGCAGCATGGATGCAGCCATGCAATTAAAAATTCTCTATGGCAATTTTCTCGTCATTTGTGAGCGATGAAAAACAAGTTCATGACACGGTCAGGGATAAGCTAGATGAGGAGAGAGACATGCAGTGGAGGGCAACTTACGAATAATTTGTCCCAGGATTAGTGATTCTTCATTCATTGCTAGC